TGCTATAACAAGCATATGCGCTTATATTCTGTAATCAAAATTTCAGTATGAATCTAATGATATATAAATCAGCTTCTAAGATTCACTATAATTCAGATCGTCAGTAAGTTTAAACTCTTTATGTCCCAAAGTACTTTATTTTTTTTTAAAAAGAGTTTGTAACGTTTTTATTATATTTCTTTATGCATGAGAAACATCTCGCATTAAACTTACAAAAATGTTATAAGTTTTTCATTGCTTTTTTTAAAATTTAAACTTGGGGCTTAAAAGTCGAGTTGGGGCACAATTGAGCGATTTTATTGATGGGACTTAAGTCCCGTCAGGAAATAAAGGGATAAGGAATTTCAGTTACGGAAGCTGAAGTTTATAATGCATTTTTCTGTAATTTTTCTGGAAAATGTATTCATATTTTCAATATGATATTGTATTTGTTACACATAAAAAATTACCAGCAATTATCTCGTAAATTTTAAACCGCATAGTAATACCACGCAAACCCCATAGTTTCTCTATTCAAATTGTTCCAACAAAAAACTTCAGTTAATGAACTCGGTGATTGCAATTAAGTGTCTAACTTCAAATTCTCATCTGTATTTCGGTCATATTACATGGAATCGAAATTTTTCAGCAGAAAGATTGCTGAAGTAACGATTTATATTGTGCTTCTTCATTGGTCGAACCATTTAAACTATGCTAACATTACCTGAAATCGGCATATTTTTTATTAGAATAACTTCCTTCACACTCACTAACCTGACTTTCACCTTTTAGCCTAAAAATTGTGTTTTATCTTTTTCCTTCTAGAATTCTTTTCACATTCTAAAACTTGTTAATCAAGAAGTTAACAAGTTTTAAAAATGACAAATTTTTTTTTGATTGAAATTCAAATTTAGTATGTCATTTCTGCTCATTGATACTTACATGACCAACTAGCAAAATTATTTTGTAATTAATAAAGGAACGTTACAAAGCAGTTAATAAAGAAATATTCAAGACAAGATCCAACCTACACTATTGAGATTGGGCATTTAATTAAATTTCTTGTTTTGAACTTTGTTTCGCTGCATCACGTAACTATGTTATTTTTAATTCGTCTTTCACATTATAATGTGCGTACTATACAACGAAATAAAGAAAATATTAAAAACTTACTTAAACCTTTTTCCTTTTACCTACATGTTGGCTCATTTACAGAAATTATGTCTAATTCATTCTAAATTTAATTCAGAAAATTGTCTTGGAAATTTATAATGATGCATCTCTATTTTTTACGAAATGAAATTTAAAAAATATTCTGGCAGAAAAATATGTTATAGAATTATTATTTGATGCATCATTAATTATTAAACAAATGCTAAGACATTGACCATCAGGTTATTAGGCAACGAGCTCTCCAATAATTTTTAACACAATCTAAATCATTTAGTGCAAAACACTCGTCCAAATAAGCAGCAGTCACGCCTTCTCCGGAGTCACACTAATTCACAGGAATGTGACAGGCTCACATTCGTGTGCATTAGTTAAAAGAAACAAATAGGCACTAAAGTAATCTTGCCCAGTTTAAACTTGGCCACTGCAGCAGCACAGGATACCGAGTATCACAAAGCACATTCCAGGACTTAACACCAACAGCGTGGGAAGTCGCACAATGAAAAGATTGCTTGAAAATTCTCTTTATTTATAATTTAGCAAAGTGAAGCGGAAGGTCTGAAAAAACTTGGGAGTTATCAGTTCCCCGTTTTTTCCAAAAGGTCCGTCATCTCCTTTTCATAGAGACCACAATGTGATGTCACCCACTCCTTTTATCTTTTAAGAGTTCCCTGCAACTCTGTATACGAAAACCCCCATTCTCTTGGTTGCTTGTCAAAGCATGAAGAGCAGAGATAGCATCTGAAAAAAATTACAACCTTCCCAAGAGGGGAAAGACGAACAGCAAGTTGTTGTAGAGCTATATAAGTAGCTTCGAATTCTCCATCCAAGGGAGTTGTAAATGAGCCAACATGTATGTAAAAGGAAAAAGGTCACTAAAATCACAAGCACCGGGCACTCTGACCAAAATCCAAAAGAGACCCATCAGTGTACATGTGAAGCCACTCCTGAGAAAGAAAACGAATATTTATAGTTTCTAAGGCAATAGTAGGAAGTGCAATAGGACTAAGGTCACGTTTTTTCACATTTAGAACCAAGTGCAATCTGACATCGAGTACGATGTATTCCAATCGACTTACACATGATGATCATAGGGCACATCATTAATAACGTTGTAATGAGAGTTTTCACGAACGCATCGGATGAAACCCCTCTAAATCTTTAAAAGTGTTATCACTGCCGTATTCATGCCAGAAAGAATTATTTAGTCTGTTAAAAAGAATAGCTGCATTCTTTTGAAATGAATTCGTCGTTGGCTGTTGGTCACAAAGTAATTGCATTAAAACCACAGGAATAGTGATTATTTTATGTTGTCAATATAAATTTTTAAATTGTCTCTTAAATTATGGCAACTAGAATAATTTTCGCGCCTTTTTAAAGAAATGCAAAACGAAATTTTGAAGTTAATTAAGCAGTTGTCTTATAATATTACAATTATCATAAGAATGAAATAAAAAGGAAGTTTAAGTTGAATGAACCAGCTTAATATTTTAAAAAGACCTATATAAATTGCTTAGGAATTTCATGCTTAATAGTTAAATATTTTAAATTTTAATTTCTAAAACATGGTTACAGGAATAAATGATTAAGTAATAAATGATGCCCGATTAATAAATTATTAACGCACTGTTAATAATATTCATACATTAATTCCCTAACTCTCTGAATGCGTGATCATGAATAAGGCGTTTACCCGTTATCCTGAATATACGTGGGGAACGTTGTTATCACCGAGTTCGAATCCCTAAGAAGGAATAGATGTTTGTAAATGTATAGTGTCCGTGCGGCATGGGGGCAATCTTAATATGCGGAGAGCAGAAAATCATCGAGAAGTTGGTGGTAGGGGAAGAGAAGTGGGAAACCTACGGACCCATCCCCCTTGCAGTACTCTACATCAAAATTGGGGGCGGAACTATGCTAAGTCACACTGTCACCTGTAAGGTGCTCAAGGCTGTTGCCATCATAGGCGTAACTGCCACGAGGAAATTCGTGGGCTTAAGCTGACTATTGGTCAGACAAGTGAGATTAGCAGCAACAACGTTCTTATCTCATCGGCAGACACTGGGATCTCAAATGTGACCAGTTTTGCAAGAAGTAAAGTTTATTTTTTTACCCTTTTATGAATTTTATACTCTTGGTCAGACAAAGGGGTTTTAGAGACTTTAGGTTATTTCGAAAGCAGGAGCGATGTGAAAAATGAGCAATACCTTTGCCGGGACTCGAACCTCTCGAATACATGCCGAATGTGCTGACCATGACACCACGAAGGCAGGAGAATTACCTTATAGGGAAAGTTTCCACAATCCTAACGGCTGCTTACCCTCAACCACCAACCGACGCTATTGATAGAAACTTAAATATTGATTTGAGATTAGAATTTCTCCCTTTTGAGATTTCTTCTCAGTTTGCCTTTTACACAAAGTTATTGAAAAATATTTGGCAAAAATGCACAGGCAAGTAGAAGGGGCCGAAATAAGCAGACTTTATAATCCCGGCCCAAACAGCGCGTCGAAGTGGTACAGGGTGCTGTTGAACAGCAGGTAAAAGCATTCTGTTGACGTACATTGTCATTCCTCATTCGGATTTTGAGCAGTGTGCATCAATACACATGTGCAGGGCTTATCGGCATGAATTTTATCTGTTTGACTGAAACTTAAAATGAAGCAGCTACTCAGAAAAAGTACAAAGAATGGTTCTCGAATATCTCCCTTGAGTAGTGCTCCATTTCCGTTCGCAGCTCTATAAATAAAAAAAAAAATGCATGTCTGGTTAGCTGCGTGTTCAATGTAGCGATGCATACCGCTAAAAATGAAAGAAATGGCACCGCGAATGAAAATTTATGCCACTACAATGCTTTCTTTTCACTGAATAGAGAGTATACTATTTGAGCTCACATATTCCCTTATGAAATCGGTTTATTTCCCCCTCTCTACATGCCATTAGATTAGTATAAGATTAAATCGGCCTATATATATTACAATTTCTTTCTTCTAAATTCCCAGTTACTACTGGGTTTTTATATTTCTTGAGAACATAATATAAGCAAAACTGCTGACCAAGAAAGGAAAAGGAAATTGAAACGTTTAACCAATGAGAGATGCATTTATTCAATTTAATTGTATCATTCGTATCCTTTAGGAGAATTTACTTTAAATAAAAAGGAAATCACATCACTTTTAATTTAGTTCATAAAAATTCAGTTCAAATCTACTTCTGTTAATAAAAGTCAAATACGTTTTTACCCAAGTATTAAGAATACTATATTAAAATATTGTATGGGCAGGGATAGAACTTTTGAAATACAGACTGTCCAAACAAATACAGATACGTGACGACCCCAATAATGAATGCTTTTTTGTAATCAACTCCTGATTGCTTTCCTAATTATTTGCAACTTAGTAACTCAATATAACTGCTGCTAAAATAATTAATTTCCACTACTGAAATTCCAAAAGAAAATCTAATAACATGACCTCGTGAGATGGTCACATTATTAAATTAGCGTCTTTTTGTGTTATGGTGTTCTAGATGTCGCGTCAATGGGGAGCAGCGTAGAGGTTCATAATCTTTGATAAAGTAGACAACTTCCATATTATGGCGATGAGTTAACTGAAAACAATTTACACATTAAATACTCAATAAATTCATTTTCTCGAATAATTATTCCAGTTAATCTAAAATATCACTTTTCTGCATTTATAATGAAGCTTCTTTCATAGCTACTTTTAACAGAGTAACAAAAATATAAAAAATACAATATATACATATATATATAGAGAGAGAGAGAGTGTGTTACTTGTAGTTTGGTGTAACAGGAAAAAGAGAAATTAAAAATTAATTGTACATCATACCCGTGAATTTTTGACGTAGCTCGTCTATATCTACACCAGAGCAGTCGTGAATAATCTGTTCTCCTTTATACCTGAAGAGAGCCCTAGAAAAAAACAAGCAAAATTAGGGCAAATGCAGCATAATTAAAATACAATAAACATTTAAGTGTAGCTTTGCAGAGGAAAAGATTTCTTCCATGCGAATATATTTTAGATAAATCAAGGATATCATGAAATGTGCACAACACATATGCCATTTTCTGGCTCATTTAGCACATAGAACTTTAATTCTAGATATTTTAAAAGCTTAAAAACTGATACTGTTCGCTTACATTCATGCATAGCGGAATATTGATGCTTCGCAAGATAATAAATGCTCTTGGCATAAAATGATAAAAACATCAATTCTTTTTTCACTAATAATTTATATTTTGTTTTGTGTATAACAATCCGTAGATAGTCAGAAAAACAAAACAAAAATAGAAAGCGAAGCAGCAATCTATTTCGAATGAGCAATCATTACATTACCTAAGCCTAGTTATTTCCTAATTTCAAAAAGGCACGAGCTCCTATTTTAGGAGGACCAGTCTGCACATTTTCATAAATGTTTTATTCTCATAGAAACACGGAAAGGGGGCATTAAAGCCTCCTGAAAGAAAGCAATGCTAACGGCCGTAGACTGGTTTGGTTAACTGATTAGCGCAAAATAATTTGAGGGCTTTGTCTGCCTAAGGGAAGGGATGCCTTTGTGAAAGGCTTTCTAAGGAAAATTGTCTTATATCCAACATTGCACATCTGCAACACCACGAAAACTAAATATGTAGCCAGCCCGTTCGCCTACGTTCGAACCCGGCACGAGCTATCAGTATTCGGTAGTCTTTAACCGGTCGTCTCATGCTGGGGTGACTTATACCAGCTTAAGCGGCCCCCTATTTCATAACTTATCGGAGCTGACTCATCTTCATATAATTACTTCAACATATTTCACCGTTTTGATTTACGTTAGCTTATTATTTATGCAGATTTAAACATGCCAGACGATAGGTCTCGAGAAAAAGCAGTTGAAATTCAAGATTTTGTAACACGTTTACCAAGTAGAATTTACGAATTCAGTTTATAAAATAGCTTGGTTAAATGCGGAAGGGAAATTCATTTCATTAAGCTTGAAAATAAATCTACTGGGTCATTTTGTTAGACTTGTTTAATTATGTTAAAAGCGAGAGTTATCTATCTAAGGGGAGGGAAGTACATTTTTAAAGGAATATGGTTCGTATTCACCTTACAACTGTAGAAAAGTCAAACACTTTCATGCAGCCACCTCTTTCGCTGGCTTTCTAACCAGGATCGAATTACCTGGGCTCAGCGGTTTTAACCACTGGAGGCATTTTGTCGTAAACTTGTGAAGAAACGTATCAATCAAGAAAGCCTGGCTTAGTAAGAAAGGTGGCGAAAATTATTTTAATGACGACTTTTGAGCTTACATAATTAAAGATGGATGACATTTACTAACTTGATTAGTATTCTCTCCTCAAAGACTTTTATCTACGTTAAAAGTAAAAAAAACGGCATCCCATAGCCAACAATCGGATGAGAGTAGAATAGCATCTTGAAGTGCTACTTGTCTTAATTATTGAGCGATTTTTTTTTATTTTAGACACAATGTAATTAGCATGGACTGAAATAATTTTACCGCTTAATAAGACAATCAATTAGTCCTTCCCCCATAAGTCAGCATAACCGGGATTATATCCTTAGGTTTCGAACCTAGGAAAAGTCGTTCAAGGAGCATCGAGTAGCCGCTTGACAGCTTGCCATTTTTTTTATGTAAAACTTTTTCTATAATGCTGCTCCTCAGTACATGAAAGAAAGGATTTCTTTGTCGTTTTTAGGCTAATCTTGCCGTCATCATATATATAAGTAATCGTAATAGGAACATCTGTTGGATTTGTGTTTTGTAAATAAGGAAAATCTTTTTAAAGGGATTTTACAAACCCATCTATGATATTGGACATCTTGTAATACCGCTTTAGCATCTCTCAAATCCTGCCTAGATGCGAGCTAATGAGAGCTGTTGTAGAATGCTCGCTTGCCACGCGACCATATGAAATACTAATCCAAACTTGTAATTATCATCAACGTCAATTTAACTTCTTTCGGTGGTTCAGGTTTATGTAACAGACGATAAATGGCTCGATCTAAAGCACAACAAACTAATTTATTTACAAGTTACTGAAATACAGTATAATATTTTTTGCCGCTAATTGTTAGGGCCGGCGACTCTCTTTCAAAACATTATAACTCATAGTTAAGCACATCTCGTAGAGTTTCAAATTCTAATCCTACCTTAAAGAGACAAGCGAGGTAGAGCGGCGGCTATACGAGTTTCGTAACAAATGCTGAACATAACTATTTAACGATGAGTAAATACGCCTTGCATCAGAATAAAGCAGTTCTTAGGACAAGCTCCAAATGCAAGAATCATAGGCCTAAGGCTCCCATTTTCAGAAAGCGTCAGAAATTGATCTCATAAAGGGACATGTAAATAAAGGCATATTTCATTTTGAATTATTAATGCTTAATTTTCATGCCACAATAACCGTACTGATCGCCCCTAAAGGGCTAAAAGTTCTGCTCTCGGTATACTGAAAGCGCCTTTCATGTGCGCACTTTAAAAATACCTAACCATTAACTGCATGATATTTTCTACTGTATTTTTTCAAAATGAAATTAAATAAAGAAAATTTTAGTTTCAAAAACCAATTAAAAAACCAATCATGTGCCCAGAATTCCATATCCATTAACTATCGGACTTCTGCCGGCGAGATAATGAATGTGGATAATAACTTCTTGTTACTGTCGTGTTAGTATTAGTGAAAATACATACATTATATATATATCCTTCGAAATTAAATTTCAAAATTATTTTATATACCTGTCCAAGTTACTTTTAAGACTTAGTTGTAGTGCATATACGAAAATGTTCTCCTTTCTGTAGTGCTTTTTTCGAAACCTTTAAATTTACTTCTTACTAATGTACTCATTTTTGTAGATATGACTCAGAAGCGAAGATTCAGTCATTAAGTTCGGAATTTTGATAGTGGTCGCGCATCGCAATGAAGCAGTTTACTTAAAAACATCGCCAGTAAAGTTTTATTGACAAAAGGATAACTTCTGCAGAATTTTCATTGATATAGGATGCTCAATAAACTGCAAAGGCTACCAAAAATTGTTTATTGAAAGAAGGAGAGGATTTAAACAATTTTGATTGGATTATTTATGTATAGAAAAAAACGCACTAGGACAATCAGTATTTCGTCTTTTCTGCAGGTAAAAGACTACTACAGGTAAAAGATCGAAGTAAACCAAAAAAAAAAAGAGAAAAATCTGAAATATTTCAGATTTTAATGATTGCCAGAAGGATTTTTTCAGTTTTTTCCTTGTTCTCGCTGAGCTCGCGGTCTACCAGTCTTCTCTAGCAGTCACTCCTGTTAACCCTCCTTTTGTTTCCTTTCTTTTTAGCTTTACTATTAAGCATCGTTTTCGTTGCACTTACGTCATATAAATTCAACAGCAAAATCACAAAAACTTTAAAAGCTGCATATGTTTAGAATTCTCAATGCAGTGTTATATAATGGCATACATTTTTATATTTTTTCTTTCAGTTTTTTTCAATTCATATTAATGGTCAGTTTTCTTAGCGAGATGGCTCACGGTTTGGTTTATGCAATTACGGTAAGGCCTCGAGGGCTATCTGCATAAGGAGGATGCTTTCTTGGAGAACTTTATAAGGAAAATTGGCTCGTATACACGTTATACATGGGGAAAACCACGAAAACGCCCATGCAGCCAGCCCATTCGTGGGATTCGAACCTCGGATCGAAATACCAGTGTTCAGCGACTTTAGCGCTCGGCCGCTGTTGAGTGCATGATGGCTCAAAACCTTTTTTTTTTTTTTTTCCTTAGTCTTTTTATTAACGTTTTGCGTGTTAACTTCATTAAATATCACACTATTTGCATTTACGCCACATAAAATTCAGTTCTACAACAAAATTAGTAAAAAATTAAGAACATACTGGCTTTAGAATTTCTGATAGAGAGTCTTCCACGCTAGAAATAAAAATTTGTTATTTCGTGTACTGTTGCCACAGCTCGCTTTCGAATCGCTGAGGTTTTTAATGAAAAATTTATTAAAGTTGTACAACATATGACACATAAAATTAAAAATTCGAAATTCAGGCTTCCGGGTCCACATGTTCGGGTGGAGGACTGCGTAATTAAAAACTGGATGTCTCTAGTTACCGTCTTTTTTTCACTGTGTGAGGAACATACAAATATGCAGATTCTTCATTATTTAACCCCTTTCGAAATAATACGGGGCGATAATATTTGGTGGCAGCAATTTGAAAAGTGATACAGACGTTTATAATAGACGAGCAAAATCCCATTTCGAGACTAATCAACCATTCGGGCTAACGCCTTTTTGGGTTAATAACTACATAAAATTTCAAGAGAATTTCAGCATCTGATATTATAAGCAAATGCGAAATGAAACTTCGTCGAGGCTAAGAGTTTAATTTTTCATAGGTAAAACTGTGATAACACGAGTTTAGGGAATGTAGACGAGCAACAGTGAATTATCCTTATGCACGACAGTTTAGATTAAAATTTTTGGTTACTAGGTCGTACAATATTACATAACATATCAATCAATTTCATTTTCGAAACATAAATATACCTCAAGTTTCGTACACCAATCAATGAGCGACCGGAAGAGACCGTTGAACACTATAGTTTTTCGATCAAAATTCAAATTTCGGCAAACAGGCCTTTCTCCAAGGGACGATGTCGTGGTTTTCCCTTGAGTAACTTAAATAGAGCTAGTTTCCATTAGAATTCTACAAAAGCAGCCTTTCTCTGAAGCAAATAGTCCTAGTACGCTTTGCCTTTGTAATTTAATAAACCAGTCGAACGCTTATTTCCAATTATGCGACCAGATAAAAGCATGATTTGATACAAAGCTTTTCTGCAGAACTACTACAAATATTTGCAGAATATGTATAATTTCATCAACATTGAAACTAACATAAATTGTTTCCAAAATCGGCCGAA